GTTGTAGCAGTGTCCTGATGGTGTGATCAGTCTTTGATACAATAAACAAATTGTGGCTGCTGATGATAAATTATTAGGAAGGCCTATTAAACATCCTGGTAGACATTTGTAAAAAGATAAAAAATGTAGTGTAAGTGTTAATCATTTCAGCGTTGCCTTTTTCTTCAGAGTTGCCTTTAATATAAAGTCAGTTACCAATTGCCACCTCGTGACCATGCCTTTTTAGCCCCAGCCCCTAGGTGGTCTAGGCTTCATTCATGTTCACAAGCACTATAGAGTGAGATTTGTTAGGATCTTTTTGTGCATTCAGAGCATGGTCAATAGCAATGTTTTTGCAAACAAGACATACAAAATTGTGCTTGCTTGGAATAAGCAAGTTATGTGTAAACGAAAATTATTACGTCATGACTGACTTACAATAATTTAATTATTTATTATAACAAGCACACTATTTGTGTTACTTTTTTAACCAAAAATAATTAATCTTCTATTTATTTATATAAATAAATAACTTGACACAGTGCTAATAAATTGATTTACAATTTTGGTACACTGTGTACATTACTATTGTTTGATAATGTAATGCACAGTTTAACACTTGCATGCTAAATGTATTAAAAAATATTTGTATGGGATGCGATATATCTTGATTGAGATTTAACTTTGTAGTAGTAGCATCTGGAGGCCAGGAAAAAATAATTCAAAATCTCAACCATTATGGGCGTTTTTGGTATGGTTTTGACAATTAAGAAAAAAATTACTGTAAAACAAAAATGAACATGCAGTAGGTGTTAACATTAAAGAACAGCTGTTTGAAAAGGGGCGGTTTGGCGCAGCAGGAACGGTTTGGTTTCCCAACCCTCGAAGTCTGGGTTTCAATTCGCTTGTGTCTTTTAAGCAAGGCTCACTTTATCTTCATTGCTTCTATCCATCCAGAAATATAATGGGTACCTGGTGGGGTTGCCTGCTACTGCGCCAATATGCCAGCAATACTAAGGCGCGTGGACACTTGCAGTGCCTCGTAACTGAAAGGAAAAGCGTTACACAAGCAACAGGTAACAGGATAAAGGGAAACACGTCACTTTCAAATTCTTGATGGTGTCTAGGAAGTAAGATTTTCTTTTTGGTTCTTTTGCTGTTCTGAGTCATTTTTAAATGGTACTTGACCTGTCCAACATAACTGTTTAGCCACTGCCACTTTCCGCTTCCGCCAACTAAAAAGACGCGTGTAAAATTTCTGTGTTTGTGGCTTTGGTTTTTGTGCGAGAAATATGCCTACTATGCAAGCATAGACCTTTAGCAAATGTAATGACTCAGATTTTTTCATAATACGCTATAGGCACTGTCAAATAGAAAACATTAAGGCTGATAATGCCCTCACATACCAGTAGTAGCCCAGTAAAGGGCGTTTTTATACCAATATATTACAGAGACCTAGGTAAATCAGAGATTCAATACAACCAAATCATCTCTCCATTCGCCCCTCATACAACTGATAATGCTCTCACATACAAGTAGTAGCCCAGTAAAGGGCATTTTTATACCAGTAGATTACAGAGGCCTATTGGTAAATCAGAGATACAATACAGTCAGATCATCCCATTCCATGCAACAAATACGCGCCCTTGCAAACCTGTAGTTTAGGTAGTCCAAAGAGATGGAAAGTCGTCACCGCGGAATTTATAAAAATAACAATGTAAAAAATTAAATTGCACTCCTCTTTGAATATACGCCTGAATAAACTCCCCATCTAGAGCCTATTTGGAATAAATGCCTCCCTCGATGAACACCCCGATGCGTTTATTTTTTCACCAAACAATTTCCCCCCTATAAATGACTCTAAACAAGACTGATGGAAACAACACAATTCTCAACACATTAATGTTCTACTCCAGTAGATCTCGAATCATACTTTTTCTAACATAATGGGATCAATACGTTTGAATGAAAACATTTTGACTGTAATTATGTGTCCATTGTTTCCCACAGCATTGTTGTTTTTCAGTATTTTGCCTTTTAATCTGTATATTACGTAAATATATATATATATATATATATATATATATATATGTATATTATATATATGTTATGTACAGTATATGTATGTATAATATATTATCACATATTATGTATCTATGTGTATATGTATGTATGTATATGTGTAATGAACATATAATTGCATATAATACAAATCAAGATAGCCGTTAACGCTGTTAAATTTTATGTAAATCACCAAAGAAAGATTAATACAGTGTTCGAATAAAGGACATAATAAATTCGTTGTGAGCTATGCTATTTGTTTCCAACCGTACGTACCTATTGTGTAATAGAGTGTATCTGGCCGTAATTTGAATCTGTTCAACCATGGAGCCTCTGTGGTCTAATGGTTATGACGCTCTCCTTGACAGCGAGAGGTCGCAGATTCGAATCCCGTTAGAGTCATTTTATTACACAATTTCTTCATTTATTTATAGGACTACATTCGTTGAGAGCTATGCTACACGATGTATTATGTCCTCTATTCGAACACTGTATTTACCTTTCTTTGATGATTTATATATATATATATGTATATATATATATATATTATATATATATATATTCACAAGCATATGCCTATACAATTATACAGCAAACTTTCGTCACTGTAATTAGCTACTGTAAAACACGAGTCATGCGCACTAACTCAATATTTCGATCAGTTATTAAAATGCTGACCTTTGAGTGCCAGAAGCAATTATTTATAGACAAACCCCGATGCTTCTAATGCGTATAGAATATGAAATGGAATGGAATAAACGGTGTACACTAGTCTTGGTTGATCAACGTGGCGATTGTTTGCATTACAGTAGGTCTACATTGCCCTGTCTATTATATCTAATTGAATATTTTTGTTTAAAATTATTTTCTAACAGGCATGCGACTTATTTTTGCCATAAAGTAAATAAGGTTAGCAAATCAATATATCTATCTGAAATCTTCGGAGGAATTTATAGAATCAGCAAGCTAGGAATGCATTGATATTTTTTTTTTCATAAATATGCAAATTGAAAATCAAATACAGTAATCAAAGCTCATTACATAAAATACCGCGTCACACCGCCTAACGTCGATAATATCATTTTTTTTTTCTTGTCTTGTCTATATGCTCGAAACATTATTCATGGTTAACCTACGTTGACACTCACCGACGTACTTAGCTCCACTTTAAATTATAATAGGCTACGTCACGTGTCACAGCGCTTAATAATTAAATTTCCTAGCCTCCTTGCAAAATATTGTTATCGGGTGAAGCAGTTTTTACACGCAACATCAATCGGTGTACGAGCTGTCGAGTGTGAACTAAGCAAAGCTGTGGACGGTAGGTGATACGTTACATATGCTATCTTGTATAAGTCTACTCCTAATTTTTACAGAATATATGGATAGGCCTACACATTGCGTCACACCGCTGATCAATAGACTAACATGCCTGACTAGGAATGTTCATCTTTCGTGAAAGCCCACCATATGTATTATCATATTGGATAGCGTAATTTAAACATTATGCAGGCAGTTGCAATTCCTATATCACCTTAACGTGATGCCTCTTTGGAGACTTCGTCAATTACCGATCCAGATCCAGATCTTATAATTCATGTTGGCCCTAGCTGAACAGTGTCAATAAAACACTTGCTCAGGTATGTGGTTGTTTTTGATAGTATCACAGATATAACATAAACCGAATGTGATAATTACAGTATTATGAATAATTAACACATTGGAATCAAGTATGATATTTTAAACAAACCGTAAGCAATGTAGCAGATGAGAAAAATAGTGTAATATTATTTGTTCGTGACTTAAAATCACGAAATGGGATGCTAAATGGATTATTGGCCCATCTAAAAATAAATTTAGCCACTGAAAACATATCAGTTATTGGCAGCCATTGACTAGGAAATCCAGTTGGCATATTACATCTCATGATATTCTTATATTATACTATATTAAATCATATTGTATTATATTATGTTGGAATACATCTTATTTAGAAAAATTAGCCATTATTTTGAAATATTCAAACTAATTTAACCATTTAAAGAGAATCGTGCGGTCGTCCAGTCCTAGGTATATACTTAACATTCCTTTTTTTTTCTTTTCCTTCCAATTAGGCTGAGCTTTTTTTTTCAATATTTTCTACCAAGTTTATTCTACGAATTCAGTCTTTTAAATTCTTTACTTCTTTTCCTTATTCCTTTTTTTTAAATTTCATTTCAATTTCTTTGTTTTCATTTCATCTACTGTCACTGAAATTTTGGCTAACGTCAATCAATTCATAATGACAGTATAAATGATAACCTGCATATGAAACGTGGTGCTGGGCTTTCAATCGGAAGGTTAGGGGCTCGAGACCGATACTTGTCACAGAAAACTTAGGCTTTTACATCTGCCTGTTTAGGCCAATTATTATCTATCTATATTTATATATAC